TTGGGGCACTGTGAAGTGTTTAGGGAAAGGAAGCTGGGAAGAGGACATGGGTGCAGTGGGCATCTTATATTGTGCTTGACAAAGAGCTTCAGCAGATAGTAGATACCTGTGAGGCACTGGATAGAACAACAGTATGTTGATGGCTGTAAGCATTTGTTCTCTTTTGAAGAAGTCAGGCTGAGCCAGATGGATCATTCCCAGAAAACAATTTAATGTTACTATTCTTCCCCTTGTTCACCTTTCTGGGAAGGAAGTGCTATGTTCTTTTGGAGAAAGTTCCAGGGCCTGGCACTGGAAAGCCGCCTGACCCAGCAGCCAGGAGTCATAAATTTGTCATTTGGGAAGCATTCAAAAATGTACTGTTTATGGTTATTAACCTGAGACTCCTGGACTGTGAAGGCAGTGTGAGTGCTTATTCAGGTTTCTGGATGCCTTTGTCTGAAAAATTATTGAGGATACTTGAGATCTTTATGTGGGTCAATATTTACTATTGAGAAGTGAACAAGGAAAGTATAAAGGCTTAGAACACTCAAGTGTCAGGACTGCCACCATTCCACTAGCTGTCAATGTGACGGAGCCAGTGTGTTTTATGTGGCCTCTGGAACGCTCTGTTGTAACTGGAGAGGTAACAAGAATGAAAAGTCATTAGCATCATGGTGTTGCTGTAAAAAGTTTGGAATTAGTGCATCCCCTAAAGTATCTTTGGGAAGTCTGTAGATCCTCAGTTCACACATTAAGAACTAAGTCTTTGCATCTATGAGTAGAAGGGGAATTGAAATCTTAGATGGGTGTAAAAAATGTCTTTAATTTTGCTAACTTCTAACAGGAGTCTGTCATTCTTTTATTAACAATACATACAATACAAAACAGTCAGGAATGCAGTGACTTTGTTACCAATGGAAATCACAGATATGTCCCTAGCATATTAAATTATTATAGATATCCTGATACTTTTAAATTAGGGAAGTTATGAGGACTGATATTAATAATGTGTTAAGGAGTATGTATATTAGTGATTTATAGATTAGTATTCTTTGTCTTATAATTTATGCATGTAAGGACATTATTGTTTTGAGACAAGAGCAGTGGCACATGCAAGGGTGAGAGTGCTTCAGCATCTCAGAACTTCTGGTTTGTTGTCCTCATGGAAGTGGAGAACTGGTGACACTGCTGAGTCCCTGAGAAGTCTGCAGAAGGAGCTGATTAAGGCATGTGGTGTCAGAGGCTGGATGTGGACTAGGCTGCTTTCCTGGCTTGTTTTCACACGGGTTCTGTAATGAAGTGTATGGTTGTCTGAGTCTGTGGTGGGCACTGTGCTTCTTCTTAGTTATTCTCAGGCAGCCTTCTGCTTTGTGCTGTCTAGCTGGTAATCAGACATTTGCCTACTGGTCTGAGGAATTATCCACGCTTTTCTCTTGGAGAGTCAGAAATCACCCTCTGGCTTAAAAAGCTTGTTCGTGCTCTGGCCTTAGGAGATATTGCTTGAAATGCTCTGTTAATGGTAACAAACTGAGTTGTCAATGTTTATGAATGATTGCAGGATTCACAGGGCACTCTGAATTAAATAAAGAACCCAAGCCAAGAAATGAGTGAATAAAGAATTTCCAGGATCTCCCTTGCACTAGTGGGAATATACTAGTTGGCATTTTTCAGAACTGTTTGAGAGGTGGATTAGGAAATGATTCTGAAGGGACTTAGTCCTGACCTTTGGGTCTCATTCTTCACTTTTTTCTTTGTGGATACTCTTTGAAATATAAACTCTTAGAAGATATGATGGTGCAATAAGCAGAACATTGTATTAGTGGTCAGGTGACTTTGTTTTTGTTCTGTCTTTAATAGTTGTGGGATCCTGGGGTGACTTTCCAGTCCATATCCTAGTGCCTGTGTTACGTACTGCAGACCTTCCCCAATGCAAGTGTTCTAGAGTAATTGGGAACTTGGGGTGTGATGACTTACTATACGTAACCATGTACTGACTGTGTGCCAAATATTTATTAGGCTTGAGGGGTTTGTCAGAGAATGACACATGCTCCCTGATTGTAAGAAAGTTATTGTAGATCTTCACCAGCAAGTGAGGATTAGGTAGAATGCATTTGCCAGGGATAAATTGCTAACAGTGTAGGGAAAGTGAAACTGGGGTTTTGAGAAAAAGCCTTTCCTACTTTGTATAGATTGTTATTTCATAGTCACTTAGTATCAGTGGGGCCACTCTTGGTGTTAGTTGACACTTAGAAAAGAGTGGTCTTTGATTACCACCTTGTAATAAACAAGAATTCCCCTATATTTTACAGAAGCCTTAAACTTGTACAATTTAAGACCTATACCATAGTTCCTTGTCCCAAATGTATTCATGAGATGAAAATATACAATTATGTACAAAGTGGTGAGGGCTATGCTAGAGTTCATTTCGTGTTTTATGGCATGTAGAGAGAGGCACAAATGAGCCAGTTGGGTGGTATAGGTGAGGGCGTGACTCATGAGGAAGCATGGGCTGGAGGATTGAGAAGGAATTTACAAGGTGGAGAAAGGGGACGCCAGCAGGTCATGGTTTGGAATCTGATCTGGTGCATCAGTCTGTTTCAAATGCTGAATATCTTGGCTGGAAAGACTTCATTTTGTGAATGTGCAGCTAAAATGAAATGTTAATGATTTTTGCTTTTGGATGTAGTATCTTATTTGTAGCTTTTCCACCAATGTCTGTATTTATATTTTCTATGTGTATTTTAGAAAGAACACCCAGGTTAATGCCTGATAAGGGGAGCATGTATTACCCACGGGTGCAACATTACCGAGAGCTTCTCGACTCCTTGCCGATGGATGCTTATACACATGGATGCATTTTACATCCTGAACTCACCGTGGATTCTATGATCCCTGCTTATGCAACCACAAGGATTCGCAGTATGTAAAAATCTTAAAATCTGGGGATTGATTCTGCCCGAAGCTTCTTATCATTTTGAGACTTGACTTATCGTCTGGTCACTGAGAAAAGATTGGAAAATAAGATTGTTGAGTTTGTTTCATGGATGTGCACGAGTGTGTACCAATTCAATAACCTGCCAGGTTAATCTGTTCCTCAGCCATTTCACTAGGTATGTGGTATCTATTAGGCCTAATTTGTCAGCATTTGGTTTTGAAGCCAACCTTGGCTAAAACTTAGAAAAGTGACTGATAGGAAGGTAGAGAATGTTCTCAAACAGATTGATTGGGAGTCAGAATAGCTGCCACCTTCTTGGGTATATGGGCAACTGGCTTCACATTTCTGAATCTTAATTGTTGTTTTATGATGGGAGGAAACTGGGTTAGGATATGTCTAACTGTTACCTCTGTACTCAGAGATTTTCTGAGATTGAGAAATTCTTCCTACTACCTGTCAGGAGGATCTGTAGGGCCAGTTTGTGAAATGTGGAGAAGAAGAAAAATTATGTTCTGCAGTATGCTTGGTTATGGTTAGGAAGGACAGAGGTAGCACTGGTCACACTTGCAAGTGTTTAGAGACACTGAATCCTGTGTCTTCTAAACCCAGAAGCCACCATTTTCTCTTACATGCTGTCTCAGCCTTGTTGTTTTATTACTTTTTCCCTTTCTTTTTGATCTTTTCTTTTACCATCTCTTTTTTCCTTTGTCTTCTTCCCTCCCTTCTCTGCTCTCTTCCACCCTCCCCTCTCTTCTCCTCTGCCCTCTCCTCGCTCCCCTTGTATTCTTCTTCCTTTTCTTCCTAAGTATTTATAATGTGATTTGAAACACAACATCTGACTACAAATTTATCACCTATGGTTGACATTATTTCCAAAACAATGGTTTCCCTTCCTTTTACCAGAGGAAGTAGGAGAACCATGGAGCGGTAAGGCAGTGACATAGAGCATGAAGGTGACAAGGTGTCGAGCCTTGCTGTAGCTGCCCACAGAAGATGCTCAGGAAGTTCCTCAGACTGTGTAGTAGGTGTTTTCTAGCTACATTTTAAATGGGGAAACCTAGGTAGACAAAGTATGTTTAAGATAGCAACAGGCTACTAGTCACAAATCTCATACTCTCATCAAGGTGTGTCCCTACTTCTGCTTATGCCTGTGACATGAGGGGGAAATATTTTTTTCCACTTCAAATGTGTTTTTATTATCAGGCCAGATTGGTAACACAGAGTCTGAACTGAAGAAACTTGCTGAAGAAAACCCTGACTTAAAAGAGGCATACATTGCCAAACAGAAGCGACTTAAGGTAAGTGACAGGGCTGGCTACACTTCACACCACTGTATTCTTTCTGGAAAAGAAGAATGATGTTTCTAGAATACCTCTTTGCTATTGTAGATCATTGGTGCATGCAATATCTGTGGTCTGTGCTCTGCTTTTCGAGAGACCTCTGAATCCGTTGTAGCAGCACATGAGCCCAGAGGATCACTGAGTTACAGTCCAGTCTGGGCTACAAAGTGAGATACTTTCTCAAACTCAAATATTCCCAAATCAAATTTTCCCAACCAAACCCCCAAGCCGGCCCCCCCCCCCCCCCGCCAAAAAAAGAAAAAAAAACTCTTTATTATATACTTAATAGTCAGACCCAGTGATAATTATTATCTGATCAACAGATAATGATCATGCTGGTTGCCATGGAAGGTGACAAATGTAAGTTCCAGTTATTATAATACAAGAATCTCTTATAGCAGGTAGTCAGCCACTTTAAGGCCTCCATGTGTTAACTGATTTGCTCTGACCATCATAAGGGGCATCAGTAATATTCTTTCATTTTCCATTCATCCTTTGCCTATGCCCAGACAACACATGAAAGCTTTTCCCTTATCTCACATGGAGCAAACTGTACTTCCAACTCTCGTTTAACTTCCTACTTTCCTTTATCCTATCTTAGCTGAACAGGCTCAGAGTACATGCTTCCATAGTTACTTTCCTTACCTTCCAAAATCACTTTTACACTTCTCTTATATGCTGTCTTTCCCCTTTGGTGTGTGCATGTGTGTGTGTGTGCATCTGCACATGTTTCTGCATGTAGAGGCCATAGGGTGGGTAGCATTAGGACCCTCTCCCACTTATTTTGAGACAAGGTCTCCTACTGACTTGCTAGGCAAGCGGGACAGTGAGGTCCAGGGATCTGTATCTGCCTCTCCAAGATGGGGTTACAATTGTGTACCATCACTCATAGCTTTTAAAAAACAAATTCTGGAACTCAAACTCTGGTCATCACACTTTCAAGACAAGCATCTTACAGACTGAGCTATCTTCCTCCAATGAGACTTTCTGCTTTTTCTTGACCATTTCATTAGTCCCCTGAGACTTATCAACTTCTGGTCTCATGTGAGTGCTAGGAGAGAATCTTTGTTTCTCAAGTTGTTTGTCCTCACTGGTTAACTGGGCCTCTTAGGAGTTGCCAGTAAGTACTGGGTCTGCTCCTGAGATGATTTCACAGCTGGAATAGTTCCTCATTTTTCTCTGGTTTTACAAAATTATTCTATATCTCCCCATTGTCTAAAATGAACAGGTTAGTGTGTGTGTGTGTGTGTGTGTGTGTGTGTGTAAATCTATTTTGTCCTATATGGTTTTGTTGCTGTTGTTAGATAGCATAAATAGCATCTTTTTTGTTGTTAATTAGTCAAAGCTGCTTGATCATGACAATGTCAAATACTTGAAGAAAATTCTTGATGAGTTGGAGAAAGTCTTGGATCAGGTGGAAACTGAATTACAAAGAAGAAATGAAGAAACTCCAGGTAGGTTCTCATTAGCTTTCTTTTTACTGAAACACTAGGGGCATTTGTCGGAACATTCTTAGATCTCACTAAACATGTTCAGTAGTCTGTTTCTGTGGTTGTTGCTATTCACAGGCAGGTTTAAATATGTTATTTCACTCAGAACTTTAGTATCTAGTTGTAATCCAGCTTGTATCAATGTGAAATATGACCCTGGAAAGGTTTCTGCACCTTTTAAAGGATTACTGAAAGATGCCTACTTACCCAGCTCCACAAATCAGCAATTATAGTAGTCTGGTTGGATAACCTGAGCAATTACTCTATGCCCACTTTGGGTTTTTCTTCAGCAGTCAGCCATTTTCCATGTTTATACATGGGGCCATTTGTGAATCTTAACTGAAGATAGTTGAAGATACTGTTACCTGAAACTTCCTTCACTACAGGGAAAACAGTTGTGTTTGATGGCCTTTCACCTGTCATCCCAGTACTTCTAAGGCTGAGGCAGACGCATTGCCAGCAGTTGAAAGCCTTCAAGGGCTAGAGAGTAAGCCCTTGTCTCAAAAACAAAAAAAGAAAGGAAAAGAAAAAAAGAAAGGAAAAGAAAGAATGACTCCCCTCTACTTTAAGGAGATGTTAACGATCCTTCTGTTTGCACAAGAGTTGATTAGTTTCGGGAGCCTCTGAGTATACCATAGCCCTTGGATGGTCAGGTCCTTTACGTAAAATGATTTGGTATCTGCATGTCCTCCTATATACTTGAGGTTATTATTGATAATTTTAATATATATAGTATAATGTGAAGGGCATGCACATAGCTTTTATGCTGTGTTGTATAAGGGATAATAACAAGAAACAAAGTCAATACTTGCTCAGTAAAACTGAAGTGTTCTTTAAGTCTTTTTGATCCTGTGGATACAGTTATTGGCATGAAGGTGTCCCATAGACAGGAGTAGTGGCCTCTTAGTGATGTTTCAGATGTAACTTTATGAATCTTTCTAAAGCACTCTGGTTGATTTCCCAAGCCAGAAGGAAGTATCTGTCTGTCATTTCCTTTGGATTGTAAGCACTTACTTTCTGAGCCCTTTACAAAATGATACAGACTCCTTGAGCTCTAGTAGTTCCAAGTTTACTGAGGGACTTTTGTGGCTGACAGATGTCGAACAAGTCTTTGTTAGTTTAGTTTGGGATAAATTTGCATGACTGTGATGGTCAAGACAACAGGTGGTCAACTTTTCCCTTAGGGCCAAAACTGCAAATGGGAGATGAGGTCTGTCTTGTGGTGCTTGTCCCTAATTTCTTAATTCTCTTTCTCTATTAGAAGAGGGCCACCAGCCTTGGCTCTGTGGAGAATCCTTTACCCTGGCAGATGTCTCTCTGGCTGTCACATTGCATCGACTGAAGTTCCTGGGGTTTGCAAGGAGAAACTGGGGAAATGGAAAGAGACCCAACTTGGAAACCTATTATGAGCGTGTCTTGAAAAGAAAAACATTTAACAAGGTTTTAGGACATGTCAACAATATATTAATCTCTGCCGTGCTGCCAACAGCATTTCGGGTGGCCAAGAAAAGGGCCCCAAAAGTTCTTGGCACCACCCTTGTGGTTGGTTTGCTTGCAGGAATGGGATATTTTGCATTTATGCTTTTCAGAAGGAGATTTGGCAGCATGATATTAGCACTTAGACCCAGACCAAATTATTTCTAGGTTTGTTGGGCTTTATGGGAGCAACTTGTCTAACCATTCCACTAGACCCCCGTCCACTCTTCCAGACCCAGAGAAGATTTTTCCTGGGCAACTAGTAGAAAACATACTTCACATTACTCTTTGGGAAGTTCGTGTGGGGAATGGAGCTAATGACATGGTATTTTTCTTCCTTCCTTCCTTCTCTTTCTTTCTTTCTTTCTTTCTTTCTTTCTTTCTTTCTTTCCTTCTCTGTCTCTTTTTCTTCTTAGATGAGATGACCTACTACTAATCTATCCCTAAAGCAAGCATGTGAAAGGTCAAGATCTGTAAATGCTGACAGGTGGGGAACAGACCTTAAATGGAGATTGTCAGTTCATGTTCCCAGTTACTTTTTGAATTAAGAGCAGACAACAATAATAATCAATGACTTCATAGCGCTTCACCTGAGATTGACTACTGTTCTGAGAGTCAAGCAGTTACCAGCTTCAGCCATAAATTAGGGAGAATATGGGAAAGGGAAGAAAGAAAACGAGAGAATGAAGTACATCTAGGATAGAGAAGTAGACTACAGTTGCTGCTCATGGCTGCTGGTCTCCTTGGTAAACTTCACATACAACTTCTTGTGGTCACACCCACTCCTTAATTGAAGACTCTTAGGAGGAGAGGGCTGAGAAGTTATTGGGGATAGTTCTGAGGAGAGCCCATAATTACATGCAAAACACCTCATTTGACTTTAATTATGAGCCACACATGTTGATTTGGTAAGATTAAGTAATTATGCACTTGTCCATATGATGCCCATTAAAACATATATGTCTAGCACATATATAAATATCTAAAGAGATAGTAAGGTGGTCCTCATGGCTCCCCTGACCTTGTAAGACATGGTCCTA